CTCTTTGTGCCTTTAATGGCTTTCAGATGTTCAGGATGAGAGGATATATTTGGGCGCAGGAGTTATTTAAAGTCTGTTCCAGTGAGAAAGAGGTAATTAGATGTCGTCTGGTCTGAGATGAAATGTTTATTGTGCCACTAAATTCCCCAGACGACACAAAACCTTACAATCTCGCAGTGTTACAGTTTCAGTCCTCAACAAAGCTTTTAATTAAACTGTTTTTCTTGTGTATGTGAAGAGGTTTATAACAATGCAGAGAAGTCTTTAGCTGGGAAAAATAATGAGCAAAAGGAGGTGTTTACTGGGCTTAATAAAAGATCAAGTTTAGCGGTGAAGTGAAGTCCTGACATAAATAAAAGACTGATTTACACCGACGATACTGCTTTTTTACAAAGCCATTGTTTCTCTTCTGCTGGCTGCTCGTATGAAAGAGAAGTGAAATGTGGAATTTCATTGAAATGTATTTATGTTCAATTTTGAGTATAAACCAGTTCATTCAGCTCAGCTCAATAGCAAAGGTTTATAATAATTTCCTGTAGGAGCTGATGAGCTTCTCTTACCTTCTTATACGCGATCCAGTCAAACACTCTGTCGATGTCTGTGGCTTCAAACACTTCCTGAGAGATCGGATGAGAACTGGCCAAACCGTCCAGTAACATCACCTCATGAAGAACATCAGTCAGAAACCTCTGCTTCTCCTGTGGATGACAGACAGAAAGAGACTTTATTCTGTTTTACAGTGTCAAACACATAAAAGTGTCACATAAAAGCCTCGGTTTTATTTTCATAAGTAAAAATCACTTTGAGCTGCTCTATAAATGAAATTAGAAAGTGGTTATGGGAAAACTCAGCTCATATTTCTCACATCTGAAATCTTTATATCTGCAGCAGCTTCCCACAATCAACTGATGCGATTAACATTCACTGCCAACACACAAGAGCCAACACGACACTCATGAGAGAAACGCTGCTGCTACATGAGCTAGTGTGTGTGTGTACCTGAATACACACAGACTCATGGGAACTCGTGTCACGGTGGGGACCTAAAGTGAGGTCCCCAGGGGTACAAAAGATTATAAATCATACAGAATGATTTATAAAAGATTTTTGAGAAAGTAAAAATGCAGAAAGTTTCCTGTGAGGGGTA